AAATGAGGAACTACCAATCAACAGGTATGAAGTTCCAGTTAAGCAAGATTTATAACTTCTAGAGATCTGCTGTATTACATTATAACTGTAGTCAACAATAACGTATTGCACACTTAAAAATTTGAGTACATCTCATGTTATGTGTTCTTATAACAAAAAAATAAAATTTAAAAAAGCAACAAGTATCAGGCACACAGCGGCTTCTCCCGCCCGAACAGCTACAGTCCCCGAGCCGCGATGGCGCAGAAAAGCCCGGCGAGTGAGGAAGCGAAGGGGCCCTGGCGGGAGGCAGACCAGGAACGACAGGAGCGGGTGGGTAGTCCAGAGCCGGAGCCGGAGCCGGAGCCAGTGCCAGTGCCCCAACCTGAGCCCCAGCCAGAGCCCCAACCGGAGCCGCAACCCCTACCGGAGCCTGCTCCCCTGCCAGAGCTGGAGTTTGAGCCCGAGCCGGTGCGCGAACCCGAGCCCACGCCCACCGTGGAGACCCGCGGCACCGCGCGCGGCTTCCAGGCCCCTGAAGGTGGCTTCGGTTGGTTGGTGGTGTTCGCTGCCACCTGGTGCAACGGCTCCATCTTCGGCATCCAGAACTCCTTTGGGATCCTATACTCCATGCTGCTGCAGGAGGAAAGAGAGAAAAATCGACAAGTGGAGTTTCAAGCAGGTGAGTGACCTCGCGCTCCTCACTTGGCATTATCCGCAAGGGTGTCTGCTCCCGCTGCTGCCAACCCCATACCTCCTGGTCCGAGACGGCCCTCCAGCGTGTGGCTCCGCCCCCGCCCCCTTGCCCCTTGCCTACTGCTTTTCTAAGGCGGGTTGTGGGGCTCTGGGCAGCCTTTGCTGTGGAGACTAGGTACAAGATGTCCTATGTGTGGGACCTGGGACATTCATTGATCACAGACAAGAAATCCACTTTTCTGCCGTGTGACAAAACCAGACGCACCTTTGGGGTTTGTTTAAAGTACTCTGAGCTTCTGTACTGGGGGAAAATATTTGCAGAATGTTTTTTTGGTGGATGGAAGTGAAGTCATGGAGGGAGAAGAGAGTTGGAACGCTGGGAGGGTTTTCAGGGAACACCTTACAACGGATCTCCACAGTAGCACCCGTTCCTGTACGGGGAGCAGACGTGTTTTCTGTCAAAAACACTAGGAATCCTGGTGACTCTGCGCGAAGAGTCAAACACATGGCAGGCATTTGTGTCTGCAGGGGAGAGAGGAAGGGAGGGAGGGAGTCCTAGTGGGGGTTTGCGCGCTTCTCTTCGCTCATGGTGGTTACGGCCAGTAGGGCCAGGCCGACCTCTACCACTGAGGGACCGAGCGGATCTTCATGTCCTCTTAGCTGAACCCCAAAGCCAGAAGGGAGGCAGTCTCCGCGGTCTCCTGCCTCAGAGGCGTGAGGCGCCCTGCAGACTGGGCCCTGAGGCTCATACCGCGTAGACCCCAACCTCAGCGGTTGCCCTCACTGACGCACCGCGCTCCTCCGCTATCCGCTGGGTGCCTTGTTCGGCCTTAGTCACAATGCCGGCCTCCGCCCCTCCGGCTTGCGCGTGAGGCTGACTTGGTCGTCTTCCCTTAACACCAGCAGGGCGGGGGTGGTATAACCCTTGCCGCGCGCTCCTCCCACTGAGCCTGCCTGTGGGCTCCGTGAGAGGACTCATCCCGTTTCCTAAGTAAGCCACCGGCGAAGCCCCTCAACACTTCTGTTGAGGAGTCTAGGGAGGAAGTCAAGGGGCTAGGATACCCTCTCCCTCTTGTGGCTTCTCAGGACATCTCCCATCGCGACTCGAAGCTCAGAATACGTGGCTTTTTTCAGAGCTGCCTGGGGCAGAACGGTTGCCTGCTCTCGCCACCCCCAACGCGTGCTTCTGCTCTCTGAGGGGACCTGGTAGTTGTTTAGTGAACATAAAAACCTCGAATTCTGCGTCATCCACCTGTGGATTCCCAGGGAGCGCCTCTCCTACTTCTCTCAACCAAGGACCATTTTTTTTTTAGTTTGCAGTTTCGCTGGGCTGCCCTTGAAGAAGCCATTTTGGGGCTCTTGGTGCCTCCAACCTTGTGACCTATTGGCAAAGCAGTGGGTGGAACCCACTTGAAAGTTGGAGTGTGTGCCAGTGGTTGTCCAGGGCAGTCTCAGGACTTCCCAGGCCTCACTAACCCCCCAAGTGGAGGGGGTTCCTGGACTGTGTAGAACAAATTCTGGGAGGAAGGCCACTGCCACATTCACCCCAGGACTACCTTTTCCTAGCCTTGATGCAGTTCAGGGGCTCTTGAAAAGGCAGCCAGGGTAGGGCCTCTGGCTGTTGCCTAGATTACCTGGGAGGGCACCTGCTGAACACTACCCTGCAGTCCATGGCAGGTGTTGGCCCTCAGGGTCAGTGGTAAAGTCTAGCTGAAACTTAATGGGAAGTAGTGGGGAACAGGCTGAAGCTGGGCTCTGGCATTCATGTGGTGTGAGCAGGCCTACAGCTGGGGCCTTAAGAGTGTATAGTAATAAGACTTGGAAAGACCACTATTTTACCAGGAAGAGGTTCACTGCTGGGGAACTAACTTCAAAGTAGGTGATCATAGGGGACTCAGGGGGAGGGCTGGCTGGGACTTTCCGGTCAAGACCTCACAGTGCAGCTGGGAAGGGGGTGGTGCAGTGGGCTGTGCAGAGGTGTGGCTGGTGTGTACTCTGACACAGACTAGGTCCATTGAGGCGATGGGTTTATTGGTTTGAATTATGGTGACTATAGGTCAGGAAGGGACAGAAAGGAATTGGTATGTCCTCAGGGTCTCAGAATACTTTGGGTTCTTGTGGTGCGTCTTAAATTCATGAAAGTTATTTTTTATATTGGAGGTCCTTGAGAACATCTCAGGTTTTATTTTGAAAAAGTCAAGAACACCCCACCACATTCCTGAACTAGAAAATCTCATTCTTAGCACTACCTTTCTTGAGCTGCTCAGTTGTCCCCAGTAACCATTCAGATCTTGAGATTCCAAATGTGTCTCTGCCTCTGCACACTTTCTGAAGTTTACTCAAAATTTCTCAGCAACCTGTGCCACAGTGCTGGTGTCTCAAGGGATAGAAGAAGCCAGCAGAAACTTTCTAAAATCTTTATCAGCCAGTATTTGCCCAATAGCCATTTTGGGGAACACAGAACTTATACCCCACATGCCTTTTCTATTCATGTGGTACACTGTCCATTTCTACTAGTGTCTGACATGCCTTCCATCTCTAAAAAATGTAAGAATTAATATTTGAGGCACCCTGTAACTGAATTTCTCTTTGGCTAGGCCTAATATTTTCATAGCCCTAAAGCTGTTCTGATTGGCCTAATGGGTCTAAGGTTCTGCAGATGATTGGGACTGTTGTGAGGGAGCCCCCATAAAAAGGTAAGTTTTGATGTTTGGAGGTTAGTTCCACATTAGAAGGGTCTCTGGGCATGGGAAAAAGCCACAGGGAGTACAAGGGAAGTGAAATTAAGGCTATTCTAGAGCATTCAGTGTATACTTTTTGTGGACTATGTGATCTGTACAGTTCTGTGGTGGCACTAGCAGTATATCTTGTCTCTTCTCTTTACCTGTTTTTAAGGGGAAGCCAACTTTCCCTGGATCCTAGGCTTGGGAGGACTGGCAGGCAGAAGACTCCTGAGATAGAAGCAAGTGACCAAGGTCTGATTTAGGGGGGAAAAAAGAAACGATAAGCAGAGAAATGAGCCTATACTTTTTGCAGAGCTTGTTGGAAATTTGGCAGTCGCCCAACACAGATAAAGCAAGAGTCAGGACAGGGGCAACCAGGAAATTTGGTGGAAAGTATAGCATGGCTTCCTGGGGTGAGAGGGGAGCCTTTGGTGGAAAGAGGGGAAAGAGGGACAAGGTGGCATTGGGCACAGGCCCCAGATCATTATTGGAACCCTAAGTGGGTTGGAGCTGGGGTGGCTTAGTGTTGGGATCCCAGGGGAGAAGACAGAACAAGCCAGGTTGTTAACAATGTCTCCAAGCTTAGGGCTTTTATTTATCTATGTATGTGTGTCTGTATTTATTTATTAAGGTATCGTGGATATACAATCTTATGAAGGTTTCACATGAGCAGCATTGTGGTTACAACATTCACCCATATTATCAAGTTCCCCCCAACCCCTTTGCGTCACTGTCCATCAGCGTAGTAAGATGCTATAGAGTCACTACTTGTCTTCTCTGTGCTGTACTGCCTTCCATTGACCCCCCCTACATTATGTGTGCTAATCGCAGTCCCTCTTAATCCCCTTCTCTCTCCCTCCCCACTCACCTTCCTCAACCCCCTCCCTTCGGTAACCGCTAGTCCCTTCTTGGAGTCTGTGAGTCTGCTGCTGTTTTGTTCTTTCAGTTTTGCTTCGTTGTTATACTCCACAAATGAGTGAAATCATTTGGTATTTGACTTTCTCCACCTGGCTTATTTCACTGCCAAGCTTAGGTCTTTTTGAACTTTCTCTAGAGTAAACCCATTACCCTGAACTTTCTACCTCAACTGCCAGTCTAGCACTGAGCCATAAAATCGATGGGAAGTATCTTTTATTAGGCAGTTTATAAGCATGGCCTTTGTAGGCTCCCAGGTTGGGGGAGTGGGGTTAGGGCTTTTACCACCCAGGGAATGAGACAATAGTCAGGAAGGTTCATTTTTGGGCATAAGATAGTTCAGGCTCGTGGGCCACTCTAAAGAAGATAGAATTTTCATAGTTCAGGCTCGTGGGCCACTCTAAAGAAGATAGAATTTTCTAGGCATAGGACAAATGGTACATTCTGCCTTTGGGCAAACTAAGAGTCCTAGGGATGGGTGAGGCCAGGGGCAGATTAAGTGGTCTTTTCCCCATCTTAGGGGCTTTCATTGTCTAATTCAGTCTCACTGGACTGATTACTAAGTTGCTGACTTTGGGAGCCAGGTATCTTTTGAGCAAATCTGCCAATGTCTTCCCTTTGGCTGAAAGCTTTTGTTCACTGTCCAGAGAAACTAGAACAGGTTGGCTCAGAGCCTGCTGTGAAGTTTGGGCCACAGAGCCATTGGCCAGGCATCTTTCAAGTCATTCCTCTGTCTCCTCTCCAAACAAGTTGGGTCCCAAACTAGGACCTTGACTCATACTGGCAGCGATGAGAAGAGGTTGGGACATTGGGTAGTCAACCACGGGATACTTGTTTGAGTTGGAGTAGCTGGTTGAGGTTAGATTCCTGGCTCACTGTCCAGTGGACTGAAATGCTCATTCTAAGTCTAAATATTGATCTCAAATACCTGGTGATCCTATAATACCAGCTAGGCAGTGACTAGGTGTTACATAACTCATGCCCCTGACTTGCTCTGTGATTTTGAGCAGTCTCTTTACTTTGCTGTACCTCTGCTGTACAGTTTATCTATCTGTAAAATAAGAGGGTTTGACTAGATGAACTTTTTAGCTCTACATTCTATCCGTCTAGAATTATGTGGTATTTTATTCTTTACTACTCATGTAGCATAAATTTTGACTCATTCAGACAAAATGGAAAATTTGTTAATCTGCCTGAAGGAGTGTCCAGATTGGTTGGGAGGAGATTGGGAAGGCAAAGTAAAACCATATCAATAATATTTTCCTGTGTAATGTGTATTTAAAAATTATGGGGCTGCTCATGTGTACCAATGTAGTTGAAAATACCCACTTCTTTTTACGCAGTATGT